AACATACCAAAATCTATATTTGACTCCATTGTTCATGGCTTTGTGCTTCTTATACATTTCATAATATGGGTCCCAAATATAGAATTTAAAAAAGAACCTGTGGACTCCTACTTACCGATAACTCAGTGCAAAGGAGCAAACATCACACATCTTCCTGTTATGTGAACTGAAGTCTTAGTAGTTCATCCAAGCTAAGTTTATATGTGAGGCTGCAGACTGGCCAGATCCTATTTTTAATTGCCAGAATTCTGTTGGATCCTTATGCACAAGCAAAAGCAACAGTGGAAATTGCCACAGATGTTTGAGGTGCCTGTCTTCCATCTGTTATGGACTTTGTACCTTGTCAATTAGCTGTAGTAACTTCAACAGGTCGTCTTGATTGTTCATAAATATCCAGTAGGGTTCTACCTGATGTGTATGCCTTCAGAATCAGAGTCATCTGTTTGGTAAAAGGTCTAAGGAATTGAGTGTCCAATTCACAGTTATAAGTGGAATGCTTCAATTATAATTTGCTTAATATTTTAACTGTTTTTTCCATTTCTCCTAATCCTCTAATTTTTAAACCATTCATTCTCTGTGCTGTTGCCTTCTACAAGGGTGTGTATGTTTTTGTGGCAATTCACAGTTTTTGTCCACATTGAATCAGATGTACCCCAAGATTACTTCTGAGCTTTCGGGTAACCAGAGACCATAAATTATCTATTACGCGGCACTGCAGTACTTTCTCTCTCTTGACTAAGCAATAAATATGTACTATAGTTCTACGCTTTGGGTGATTTTGAAACAACACACTTTTTTAAAGCAAAAAAAGTTTATTGAAATGTCATTCATTCCCTCCTTTGTCCAAACTAGACTATAATGTTAATATATTCAGAGGACAGGTGGTTATGTCTGTAGGCTTGAAATATCAAAAGGATAAGAAACAAATATTTCCCAGTGGTATTTCTAATTTATAATTTCTGAATAAAAATGAAATGCATTTGTATAGTAGTTAGTGGCAAAGGTTTTTAATATTCAGAATTGGCACATCTGACTTGATGCCATTGAATTAGGTGAAAGTTGTAGCATTGTGAAGTTAAATTGATATACCCATTTAGGAAGGGATATGTTGAGCTTGATTGGAAAATATGAAAATCAGATGTTTTAAAATATAGGAACTATTCTATAATATAGCAGCATATGCATATCAAATCCCTTATCCAGTTATCCGTTCCAGATGTGGGTTGCCTGGATCTCCACCATGTGTAACAGCTTCCTGTTCATTTTGGTTGTGTAACCTGATTCTATATGGAATGGATTATGTGTATCTCTTCCTCTTATTAACATATTAGAGAATAAAGAAAATGTACATGTGAAACTCAGACTTTGAATCAGTGACACTGTTATGTAGACTTAAGACAGGTATTTCTACAAATAATCAAAAACCACCCCATATAAAAACTGAAGGCATGTAAACACAAATTGATTTTACATACATACACAGAAAGAATGTGTGCTTCTGTGTGTATACATTTCTTTTAAAGTTATCAATTATCTATCCATATATGAAGTATGATCAGCATGGAATTTGTGCTAAATTATTTTGGAACAAAGAGATGTTGATAAGGGAGTTAAGCATTTATTTTATTGCTTCTAATCTGAAAATGAACATAAGTCTTTCTCTCTGAAATGATGAATATTTCCTTTACCTTAACATTCAGATAACTGCACAATTTATTATGTATCGCAAATGTGATAAAACACAAACCAGCTTGGTGGCCTTGGAAGTGGAACCTTTACTCATAAATGAAGATTCCTGATATCCCAACTTTGTCAACGATGTACTCCTTGTATGATGGGTTGGATCCAAAATTAGTCTCGTCTAGCTTGAGTTTATTTCAGTGGGTTCATTCTAAATCTGACTAAGTCTGGATCCAACTCAGTGTTCTCATTGTAAAGTTTCCTAAACAAAGAACTCAACATTGTTGTTAATTCTTTGGGCATAGTTAGATTGGAATGATACATTAGAAAATGAGGAAAAAACAGTCTGATGCCATGTTCAGTTAGTGGATTTTGAGAAGTGCTCAGTACCTGGATGTTTCCCAGTGTAAGAAAATATGTATTATTTTATTGCACGATTGATGCTAAGTTGGAAAAAAAAACCACATAGCTCTTTTTAAACTGTTTTTTTTAAATCCCCAAATAAATCCAGAGTTTCATATTACTTCTTTGTTGTAGTCAGATGATATATTGTTTTACACAATGCTCATTATAATGGTCTTTTCAATGTGTCATGCTGTTGAGTGTCTTCACATTCTTGGGAGGGAGGGAGGAAAGAAAACATGGAACCTCTTCTATCTTACAAGATCAATTGGATTTTGAGCTGGAAGGAGGTGGAGCCAACCTTTCACAACCTCTGTGTGTGTGTGTGTGTAACGAGTACTTGTTGCATCTAAAATGTTCATTTGGGGAGTCATTGGGGATCAGGGCATTTTTGTATTTTAGAATATTTTTTATTTAAAAGTAATAAATTATTAAAATGCTGTAAATGTGTTAGAAAATAAATAATGCTAGCAATTGGTCTTTTATTAATAATTCAATGAGTAGTGAATTATTTTTGAAAATATGTTCTGTACGGTGACATGAACTATGAGCATTGGCTGGCAGTCATACCTCTTCAATCCAGGAGTCTTCCTCCCAGCCTTGCCTGTGTGTCCTCTCTCAATCCTTTCCCCATGTTTCCTCTGATGAGGTAAAGAGTAGCAGACCGCCTTCAACATCCACATGTTTGACCTTAGTCTACCAAACAGCCCTTTGATCTCTAGTATTCAGGCTCCCGAGTGGTATGGAAAGGACAGGTAGGAATGTGAAGCACCCTGATACTAGTCTTTCTCCTTCACTGGAGGTGTGTGGCCATAATGGTTGGCAGGGAAGACGGCACACAGTTTAAGTGCTATGGAGCAGTATATAAGCAGCACACAGCCAATTGTGGATGGTGTCAGGGAACAAGCCAACCCAGGCATAGAAGTAGATATCCATGAAGAGAGAGGCAGGCAAGCATGTGTGCTGATACTCTAGATCTATCCACAGCCTTTACTATAGCTATAACAAAAATGTTCTTGACATAATTGTACCTCAACACAAACAGTATACTTCAATTGATTGTTATTGGACCATTGTGATTCTGAATATTGCTAATATCAGAGTTACCATCCTTTTATTTGTTTCTCTTGTTCCCCATCCCTCTACCACGTCTCCTGCATGGTTCCAAGGTATCTCAAGGATCACGTCTTCTTTTATGAGTCTGCCCAGGTGTTAAGATAATCAGGAGAGGCCTTTCTCTCAGTCCCACCATTTGCTGGGGACACAAGAGAGGGCCTTCTCTGTTGCTGCTCCCAGATTTTTCAGGAGGAGGAGGAAGAGGGAGAATTCGTGTGATTCTCACATGAGGACCATAGATAGATAGATAGATAGATAGATAGATAGATAGATAGATAGATAGATAGATAGATAGATAGATAGATAGATAGATAGATAGATAAACAGGCAAGGTCAGAAGACCTGCAGCTGTAAGATCAAATCCACGTGCTGTAGTGAGCCCCTGTCGCTTGTCCCAGCTCCTGCCAACCTAGCGGTTCAAAAGCATGCAAAATGCAAAATGCAAGTAGATAAACAGGTACCACCACGGTGGGAAGGTAAACAGCATTCCGTGTCTAGTCACACTGGCCACGTGACCATGGAGGATTGTCTGTGGACAAACGCTGGCTCCTATGAGTTGGAAACGGAGATGAGCACCGCCCCTTAGAGCCGGACACAACTGGACAAATTGTCAAGGGGAACCTTTACCTTAGATAAACAGGCATCTATGTATAAACAGAAGAATAGCTACGAAAACCATGCCTGCCTCACCCCCATGAACCTTTTGTGTCACCCTCTAAAGCTGATCATAGAGGGTGCTAAAGGCATTCTTTGTTCAGGGCACTATTTCTGCTAGGACCATGTCTGTCTGACGCAGTTGTCCTAATGGACCAGCCTCTACTGTTCTTCATGAAACACCTTCTGGTCTTTTCTCAGTAAATAACTAAGGTGACCCTGAACCTCAGGGTTGGGTGGTTCTGTATCCTGTACTTTCTTCCAATCTTGCACCACTTCTGAGCCCCTGAGGATTTTACCAAATCATTTTTACATCATTCCACCCTGGTATTTCTATAAACACCAGTGGTCAGGCAACAGGGGTAAATTACCCCAAATGGGATAAAAATGAAAATCCTGGGGGTAATGAGGACTGTCACGGCAGGCATTTTACCCCCGGCCATTTTATTTCTGACAATGCTGTGTGTAGGTGAGCGTTCCGTCGCGGGAAGTGTGAGCCTTGGCAAGGAACTGCACAGGGCACCCACCTATTGTCCTCGCCTCCAAAGTGGGGGGGGGAGGGTGGCATACCAGGACAGCTGGACTCTTTGCCCAACGGAGCCCTGGCCAGGGCTCTCCTTCCTGCCTGCATTTTTTTTGGGGGGGGGTAAAAGGTAAAAAAAATAGGGACGTGATGGCGCTTCAGGCTAAACCGCAGAAGCCTGTGCTGCAGGGTCAGAAGATCAGCAGTCGTAAGATCGAATCCACACGACGGAGTGAGCGCCCGTCGCTTGTCCCAGCTCCCGCCAACCTAGCAGTTCGAAAGCATGCAAATGCAAGTAGATAAATAGGGATTTTTGGGGGGGGGTAAAAGGTAAAAAAAATAGGGACGTGATGGCGCTTCAGGCTAAACCGCAGAAGCCTGTGCTGCAGGGTCAGAAGATCAGCAGTCGTAAGATCGAATCCACACGACGGAGTGAGCGCCCGTCGCTTGTCCCAGCTCCCGCCAACCTAGCAGTTCGAAAGCATGCAAATGCAAGTAGATAAATAGGGACCACCTCAGTGGGAAGGTAACAGCGTTCCGTGTCTAAGTTGCACTGGCCATGTGACCGTGGAAGATTGTCTTCTGACAAAACGCTGGCTCTATGGCTTGGAAACGGGGATGAGCACCGCCCCCTAGAGTCGAACATGACTGGACAAAAATTGTCAAGGGGAACCTTTACCTTTACCTTTAAAAGGTAAAAAAGTTCCCTGATATACACAATGGTGGTTCTGTTTCTTTGTAACACTAAGGCGTAACAAAGACAACTAAGTAATAGGATTTTATAAATGTGTACTTGTGTGGAAATGGGGCTATGAGGTGGAGAAGAGAAACTGCAAATTCAGCTAATAAAAAGTCTAGGGTGACATTTTTTAAATTTAGCTTTTAATTTCCTAATAATGCAGATTTGCACTGCAGCCCATGACAGATCCTTAGCAATATTACTGTGAACCAGGGATGCTATGATAATTGGTAACTATTATATCTGATGTACCATAATGATTTGGCATATCACATTGTTAGGTCTTGTGTTAATTTTACTAGTCCACCAAATGTCGACAAATGTCAAAGTAAACTTGCATTCCCTGTGGATTTTATTTTTCTTTTGTAGATTTCTATAAGCATAGTAACTGTCATGAAATCTGGCAGCTGGGCACTGGGATATTTTTAAGTCTCTGGTTTCAGGCAAAATTCCTAGAACGGATCATATTCCATTATCTGAAACTGACTCTAAAGCAAGCGACCTCATTACTGCAAAAATGACTGTTGTGTGATGCCTATGAATTCTGGTGCATAAGAATTTCCAGCCAATTCTTTTGACATTTAGTGCCTTAATAGGCTTCTGTATAAAAAGAAAAGGTAACCGTAGAGATCGTTGTTAAGTATTAATGCTAATGCATAGTTCATTAATAATAGCTTTGAATACAAATTCTTGGTCTAGGTATCTTTATTAATAGTTTCAGAAATAAAATGCTACCCATTATAATTCAAGAGTACATAGTTGCATTGAGCTTATACTGGTTTTCCAAGAGCATATTCCTCTAAAAAAATACAGCTGAGCATCACGTAATTTCTATCAAAATATTAATTGTCATTAACTACCTTGTAAGCACCTTTAGTTGGGCTATCACTGACCTAGGACCAGGTCAGATGAAAATAACTACTGACATGAGGTTGGTTAGTGTGTCAAATTCATAAAGCGAAAAAGTGTGCTGCTTATATACTGTCCCTCAGTGCTTAAAGCATTATATTGGTGGTATATAATTAAATTATGCAGGCTACACATTCTCCACCCCCACCCCCCGAGCTGGGTACTTAATTTACTGAGCTCAGAAGAACCGAAGTCTGAGTGAACCTTTGGGCAAGCTACCCGGATTGTGAGTAGAGTTTGGCTGCAGTACTACATTTTAACCAGTGCACCACGAGGCTCATACCTCGTCTTTCTGCACTTGGTGATGAAGACGACAGTAACAACATTTCAATTAATACAAATCAAAGTATAAGAGCAGACAAGAACAGCAGTATGAATTAATAGTAGTACAGTACTTGATTTAAAATCATTCAGCTTCACCCTGAAAAAGGAGTTCACTCACCTAAAGAAGGCCAATATCAAGTTAAAAAAACCAAAACAAAGCACATCCCAGAAGCTTGAACCAACATAGCTAGTAGTAAGAAATTGTGGTGGTGAAATCTAAAATATCTGAACAGCCAAGTTTTTCCATCCTTGGTTTATGGGGGGAGTGAGCTCAGCAGACATCTCTGTGAAAGGAGCTTCAACACAGAAAAAATCTTGAAAGGAGTACTTTTTCCTGTCTGCACCCCACATGGCTTACATCTTGCTTGAAGCTTAATGCTGTTCTAAGGTTGCTTTAGAGCAGTGGTGGTGAACCTTTTTGGGCTCGCATGCCCAAATTTCGGGGGAGGGGGAACAACGGGTGGCGTGCTGCCACCGACAGACCTGGACCTGAAAGACCGGAACCGGAAGTGGCGGTTTAAGGAGGAAATCATGCCGACGGACCTGGAGGACCTGGAAATGGTGGTGGAAGGGGGAATCCTGGCTGCAGCTGCCTCATGAGGTTTGGCTGTGTGGGGGCGGGGCGGGGGGAGTAGCGACCTATGGTTCCTGTGCCAGAAGAAAGGGCTCCGCATGCCAGCTGTGGCACATGTGCCATAGGTTCGCCATCACTGCTTTAGAGAATAAACACACAGGAAGGGAAAGCAAAGACAAACCCACCAGCTCCACTTTGTCATCAACCTCAGCACATCCTCCATGGTATTGAGAGAGGAGGCTGTTTTATTTATGTAGGCTCCTGGCACAAGCTAAAATGCCTGGAGGGGGTTATCATAGTGATAGTTACTGAAAATCATAAAACACAGGCAGGTTCATTTAGGACTTGCCAAATATTATAGACTACAATTCCCATTAGCCCCGGACAGAATTAGATGATGGGCTGTATAGCCAAAATAGAATCTAGAGAGTTCCAGGTTTCAGAAGGCTAGTATTGGAAACATTGGTCACAGTTTGTTTACAGTTTTAAGGATGCAAAGCTTATTTTGCCATAAACTTGTATAGAACGTCCACTGCACTGGG